GAAAGCTCTCGTCGAGACCATCGTCTGGGTATGCTGCACGTCTTGATCGGACCTCCGGTTAGTTCTGTACGACCAAATATATTTCGTCTCACTTTACCCAAGATCTTCTACTGTATATCTCAAACACCTCTTAATCTTGTACTAGTGGAACAATAAGAAGAAGATAAAACTCGAATGGGAACTGAAAGAAAGAAGAGAGGCGTGGGGCGTGATTTCCAAGATGTGGAATTCTCTTCTCTTCTCATGAGCTTAATGATGTATACATAGAGCTACAGTAGGGATCCTTAAGAGATTAGGATTAGGGCTCCTTAATTAATTAAAATACTTGTGGACCGAACTATTTATTTTAATTAATTAAATAATTTTTTTGGGCCACCAACATAATATTATTGCACTCCCTTTTCCTAGCATAATTTACAATTGAGACTCCAATAATAATTACTCGATTTATCTCCCCATGTTTAAGATATAAAGTCCATTAATTAATTCGATTAGTGACAATAAAAAATTAATTAATTTATTATTATTTCACCGAAGCTAACGCTCATTCATCACATTATTACTACGCCGGAATTTAATCTACCTGCAGGGTTTAGCATAATAATCCTTCATGAACTCATGACTCTGGGGACATCATCAAACTAACGCACATGGTGACCGTAAATATCCTAACCGCACATCCTACATGTAACAACATTACCCAAGACAGCGGGTCTATTGGCCTAGTTCACTAAGCCTCACCCATTTGAATCAAAGTAATAAATACTACACATATATTTCTGTTTAATATCTTACGGGTTAAGAGTACGCAATAATTAACCAAGGCCTAGTTCGTTTACGAAGATCAGAATAAAACGAACTGCTCCTCTCTGGGACCCTGTTCAATACATAAATGTACTAGTGTAACTAATCAGTCAAGACAAACTGTACAGTTGACACTACAACCGTTCGCGATGGAGTGTTCATGTCCATCTTGGTTGTGAACCATTTATTCTTGTTTCGCGAGTAACTGATAGCATGATTTTTGGTTCGCTCGATGACGACCCACACTATCTAATGCAAAACAACAAAACGTAGAACTTGTTTAATCTAACATGTTTCTCATTTATAAAGGGTAAAAATGTAATATCATCCAAAGTCAAGCTTTCAGTATATAACACTAACAATTTGTTCAATCATTCTCATTTTTTATACCAAATTCATTCTAATATTGAGAACAATTTTGTCTTTCTTATGTTTTAACAGAGATTTATAATTTTGATTGTATCTTTTGTAAACAATATTTACAAAAATAATTACGTTAAATGAATGGGAAGGCATGTAAATCACAATTTTTTAATAAAAAAATATTTCCTAAATAAATTTATAAAAAAAAAAATGATTCAAAATGATAAAAAGAAAATTATGATAATAGAAACAAAAAGATGTTTACATGAGTAGTAGAATAGTGAACCGAATATTGTGGCAATTTTAAAAAACGTGTTACCATGACTGAAATGAAATCTTTACAATATTTTTTACTTTTAGTTAAGTTGTGTATATTGCATAACTAAATGTAAAAGAAATAAAAATAAAAATAAAGTTCAAATATGCGATTTATTTACATATATACAAAAAAGTGTACAGTCCAAATAATTAAATTTAATTTAGCGTCTATATTATTGACATTGATACCATGATTATTGTAAAGTCCTACCCTATTTTTACGAAAAATTTATATTATACTAAAATGAATTGATAAGTCTAAAAAGAGATATAGATTAAATTAAAAAAAAATAAATTGCAGTTAAATTATTTGATTCCATAATTATACTATTTTTTAAAAAAATACTTCATAATATTTAATTCTATAATAATACTGCCTAGAATCAAATATAATTGATTCCAAACTGCCAGATTTAGTGCTTAATCAATATTATAAAGTATCTTTTCAAAACAATAAATCCGATTGTTAAGGAAATTTAAAACTGATTACAATTAATACTTCAGAGATTTGATTTAAGGAATTGCATATAATTATTATAATTAGTATGTAATTAATACATAATGACAGAAAAATACTTATTATATTTTATTTAAATCTATTCTTATTATATATATAAATATTTATATAGAAATATTCTAAGTATTTTATTTTCAAGAAGATCCCCACAAAACCCTAATATCTATTCCTAAAAGGGACTCCAACTATACAATATTTTCATCCTTTCTATTTGTTCATATCCTTTAAAGCAGACTTTATGTTCTCGTTTCCCTTCACCGATTGAGCCATATAATCTGCCCTAATCCATTCAAGGTAACTCCACAATCATCTCATTATCTCTTCATTTTTTTTATTTTTATTTTTTTTTAATTTATGTAGATCTTTAAATTACTCTGTTTGAATCCTTTTATTTTTGTAATTTTTTAGTTGAATTGGGTTTCTGTTACTCTGTATATTCTTGTTTATGAGGGTTAATTAATTGAACTAAATCTTGTATCAGGTAGTGTATTGCTAGCTTGAATTTGCCCAATTTAATGGATGATTTACCAGATGAAGTAGCATGGAACATATTGCACAGACTAAAAACAACTTCAGATAGAAACTCCGTTTCTTTAACATGTAAGCGCCTCTATGACTTGGACAACAAGCAACGGACATCGATCCGTATCGGCTGCGGCATAAACCCGGCCAACGAGGCCCTAACCTCCCTCTGCACTCGATTCCACAACCTCGAACGAGTCGAAATCTCGTACTCCGGTGGTTGGATGTCCAGATTAGGACAACAGCTCGACGACCGCGGACTTCACAACCTCTCGCTCGGCTGCCCGTTTCTCAAAGACCTCACGTTGAGTTACTGCACTTCCGTAACGAACGCGGGCTTAACCCACCTGTCCTCGTGCTCCCGCCTCTCGTCCTTGAAACTCATTTTCGCGCC